CCCGCTGCAGTCCAAGTCAAGGCTTAGCTCCAGTTATCTTTTAATTTTCTGTTGCATTTATGTAAGACTTTTATGATGTTTATAAGACGTGGATCTGTATGTCGACTTCGTCGTTTGTGTACCCCGGCCGGTCCTGGACAGGGGTTTTAATGCACATTCTGCTTGGAATTCTATTCGGGAATTTCTGGGCGTGACATATTATTACCTATAGCACTTAATGTGGGCCAATAGAATTTATTAGGATTTAATTGGGCCTAGCCCATTAATCTAACAGTGGCTGCGGTGGAGTGTAGCGACAACCTCGGCGCATGTAAGTCTTAGTTCTCTCCTGAACCACATAGAGCCCCCTTCTCTCTCCAAAAGTCACCCCAAATCACAGTTGCCTATATAGGCTTCTCTGTCACTCTGTGAGATCACTCTAAACCTTCAGCGTGGTATTCGAACCTAGCTAGAACTTAAAACCATAGGTCTGAGACGCTGCCCATCCAAAACTCCCCTAGTTCAGTGGCTCGTATGGCCGGACACTGCCCTGCGCGGACGAACCAACGAACGAACGGACGGCAGTGCAGGTAAGCGGTACGAAAAGAAACATTCAAAGCTGCCTGTGTCCTGTGGCCGTCTCGTGTCGGTGTTGTCGGAGCCGGGTCAGCAGGCGAGGCACCCAGGCTTTCGCCTCCCGTACTACTGGTACACCTGAAGAGAGAACACACACAGAGATTCTCTTCTCTTCTCTGTCCGACGGGGCGGTCAGCACGGTCAAACCCTTTCCCCAAGCACCAGCAAAAATAAGGAGCATAGGAGGACAGGAGCAAAGGAGCCTGGCGTAGCTTACCTGCACAAAAGGTGTATTTAGTTCACGTCGAAATTAAAAGTTTGATTAAAATTAAAATGATGTAACGGAAAAGTTGAAAGTTACGTGTATAAAAAAGTTTTGATGTGATGAAAAAATTAAAAGTTTGAAGAAAAATTTTAGAACTAAACCCGGCCAAATTCATCCTGCACCTGGTGGAGGTAGAGCAAGTATCGGTCTGGTGCTATTTCTTCTATTTCTGTTCCAAGGTTTTATTCCAATTGATAGAGGTACCTTTTTGAGATATATCTATCCATAAACGGAATTATCAAAACTAATACTATCTTCATTTTTTAATAGATAACATGATTAACTTTTAGACACACGTTTGACCATCTGTCTTATTTAAAAAAATTATATAATTATAATTTATTTTATTGTTAGTTATTTTATTACTAAATATACTTTAATCATGATTTATATCTTATGCATTTGAAAAAAAAAATTAAATGGACGAATGATCAAATATATATAAAAAAATCAACGGTGTTATAAAAAAATGGAGAGAGTATTGGAGATTGAACTAGGTTGAAAACTCATCATTATAAATATTCTTGAATTCTGACTAACAAGTACATCTGCTAGTTGGAAGTTATATACCTCCAAGGTACCTCATCTATAGTACTACTTAAAGTTTATAGCGCCCGTTCTACAACACCTCATATCACTCACTTCCACTTAGCCCCACAATTTATACTACTACATCACCCCTCCAATGACTTATCTTCCGTTTCATGACTGGCTATCCCTAAATTTCGAAATCAACTACTTATTCAATAAGTAAAATCATAAAAATACTACTTGGACTAAATTTGTTTTCCATTGCGATACACGGCTTCTTGGCTAGTAACTACAATATATGCTATATATCTCTATATACTTCTGAAAAATAAAAAAAAGCTTCATTATTACTATTTATAAATTTATCTTCTAATTTTGGGATGGAGAGAGTATTAGAGCAAGTTTAATAGTATAGCCAGCTATCGGTTCCAAATCATCTATAATCAATTTTATAGCCAATTCATACCATAGTTACCCATAAACATATACTACACAATTAATATTTGGTCTCACCTATCATACATACATGTATCTTGGAGATTGTGCTGTAACTAGCTACAGATCTGTAGCCTACTGCTCATCTCTCTCTTATTTTATCTCCTCGAAATGTGTTTATATTTGGTTTATTATCTGCTATTGTACATGCTCTTAGTAAAAACTATTTTTAGAAAAACATTAATATGATTTTTTTAACAACTTTTATATAGAAAATTTTTATAAAACATACCATTTAATAGTTCGGAAGCGTGAAAAACGAGATGGTGGAAGTTAACAAAAGAAGAAAGAACGCAACCTAAACGCTTATCTTAGGGGGTGTTTAGATTGAGGGCTATAAAGTTTTGACGTGTCACATTAGATATTATATAGGGTGTCACATGGGATGTTCGGACACTAATAAAAAAACTAACTACAGAATCCATCAGTAAACCGCGAGACGAATTTATTAAGCTTAATTAATCTATCATTAGCACATGTTTACTGTACTACCACATTGTCAAATCATGGAGCAATTAGACTTAAAAGATTCGTCTCGTAAATTAGTTGTAATCTATGTAATTATTTTTTAGACTATATTTAATACTTTGTGCAAGTGTTCAAACGTTTGATATAATAGGGTGTAAAATTTTGGGTGGTATCTAAATAGGGCCTTAGCCAGCACCATGTCACGCTTGATTTCTCCGGACCCGACGGCGGCAGAAGGAACGAAGAGCGAGGAGATTGAAGGTGCAGTGCAGTGCAGGTGTAGCGAGCGGGCGACAGGTGGAACGCCACTCGGGGAACGAGGTGCATGTATGCAGTATGCTGCCCTTCAAGCTTCAGCCGGGATATTGACGAGCCACCACGTTAGTACGCTATAATTCCCGCAGTCTAAAACACCTGTATTTATATATATATATATATATATATATATAAAGAAGACTCAAACATTTATACTATCTTTTATGGGTGTTTAGATTCAGTGGTGTAAGTTTTTAATGTGTCAAATTGAGTATTATATAGGGTGTCGTATTGGATGTTTGGGCACTAATAAAAAAACTAATTATAAAATCCATCAGTAAACAGCGAGGCGAATTTTTTAAACTTAATTAATCCATCATTAGCAAATATTTACTGTAGCACCATATTGTAAAATCATAGAGCAATTAAGCTTACAAGATTCGTCTCGCAAATTAGTCGCAATCTATGCAATTAGTTATTTTTTAGCATATATTTAATACTTCATATGGTGTTCAAACGTTCGATGTGAAAGGGTGTAAAATTTGTGTGTGTGAACTAAACAGACCCTTTTAATAGATGTGGAGTCTACTACAGTAGCCTTCTAATATGGTCGTTTTATTTCTCTTGGTTAGAGACCAACATCGTGACCTCTAATTGCCCAGGGCAAACATTCTTAATTAAAGCTCTTGGGTATATCAAAATTCTAACCGAGAAGCATATTTTTTTATAACCTTAATGAATAACATATTCATCTTTTCACATCTATACTTGTAGTTTATCTTTTTTAAGAACTCATGAACTTTATTTGTAGGTACAAATGAACTTGTAGTTTGTCTGAGAGTAGCCATAAATAAGATCTTAGGGTCTGTTTGGCACAGCTTCTGCTCCAGCTCCATCCCTCCAGCTGGAGCTCAGCCAAACAGTTTCAGCTCCATCAAAACTGGGAGTGGAGTTGGGTGAAGCTCTCTCACAAAATGAATTAGAGTTGTGGAACTGGCTGACAACTCGACTCCAGACCCAACTACAGAAGCTAAATTTAGAAGTTTGGTATCGGAAAGAGCACGTGAGTAGGACTGTAGGAGGGCTCCGAGATGAACATTGGGGCCGGGCCACCGGGGGTAGCTCATTTCTGAATTCCTGGAACGATCCCTTGTTTGTTCGGTCGATGTCAAAGGGTTTATTAACAGTAGCCACGCAATGTCTTGTTCATAGCTTCGCTTCATCGTCTTTTTTGTTTGCAAAAAAAAAAAGGTTGGATTTCACGTACTGCACTTGGGCACTGACCAAAGTATGACCGTAATTTTTCCCCGTTTCGCTGTGAGCAAAAATACTTTCCTTTTACCCTAGAAACAACTGAAGGGTGAGCTGTTACTGTTACCTGGTGAATACAGGTGAACTGTTACTACTGTTACAGCGCCTGTGGTCTAGTACAGGCTACATGTGGAATAGTGCTCCAAATACGAGGCCCAAACAAAATTATCCATGACAAGGAAAACAAAACACTTGTCCCTACAAATGCCATTCTACCCAGTCTACTCTCCATAACCTGCCTCTGATAACGATACCAATGCGGCAATGCCATTGCCATCCACTCCACTTACAATTAATTGGTCACTAAGCGAAACACATCATCTAACAAATGCAACTCAGGCATCAGGTACTCAATCAAGTTGTGTTAGCATCACTGCTTAAACGTAGTACTCCACTAGTAGTACACTGAGAAAACAGAGAGGATGTGTTCGTTCAAAGAAAACAGAGGATGTCCAGTTTTGGCAAGAGGACAAGGCCAAAAGTACTTAACCATAACAGAGACATTGGCTAGGAAATTATACTACAAGCTTAGTCAGCTGCAACAACTGAACCCTGATTCGCCAACACAACTTTCCCAGAGATAACACACTAACGCCCATGATTAACCTGCGAGTCCACTACTAATAGTTGCTTTGCAGAATTACAGATTATACTGAGCTAATCTCTCGGTCAACCTATATGAACAGCAATGCCTACAATCGATCTGGACAAGTTGCCAAATCAGACGATGGCTTGTCACTTGCAAAATCTAAAATTTCTCTTACTATACTACTAGCATTCTTGATAACGATCATAAAAAACTCCAGCTTGGCCCTGATCAAAGGTCACACAACACAGGCACACAGAGACCCACAAACTGACAGAACAATGCTAGCAAGATCAACCCCCTACTGTTCCAGACGCAGGACCAAGATGCAATTATGCAATGTTCTTCTGGAGAATGCACCAAGATGGCTAGGAAAGGTGGCTAGCTGCTAGTGCATATCATTAGCAAGCCAAGGACTACTCCGAGTTAGATTTAGATAAAACCTAGAAAAAAAGGAAGAAGAGAGGCCATGAATGAACAGCAAAGGCAGAGACTTTTGCACAATTCCCATGTCAGAAAAACCAAGAGACCTTATAATCAACAGCACCAAAAGGCAGAAGATGTTCTTATAGCTGGTACTTGTTCCTCCCTCCCATGTACCCTTCCCCAGGACACCATCATCACAATCACTGATCACCAACCAACCATTCCTATACTAGAGCTAAGTACTAAGATTACAACCACTTATGATCACTTGCTTTTGGCCAAGAAAGGAAGCTTAGGAGTAGCAGCAATTGTCACTTGCTCCATTCATACTCCAATTTTTTCCCTCTTTCCCTGAGAGAAAAGGACCCCAAAAGAACTCTGAACTCCCCTGATGAACTCTGAAGATTTCTTGCTACCTTCTGCTGCTGCTGCTGCTGGTTTTGCTTCTAGTGCTAAGGTGGTGGGGTGGTGTGGCTCTAGGTGGCGCTCTCCACGGCCGGACTCCAAATCCCCCAAAGCCGCAGGTTAAGCATCCCCATCACGTCCGCCCACCCGCGCTTCCGCTCCTCCTCCTCCTCCTCCTCCTCCTCCCCCTCCGACGCATTCTCCGCCGCGGCGGCGGATGGGTCTTCGGGGACCTTCTCGTCGTTGTCGTCGTCGCTCTCGAAGGTGGTCGTCGCCTCAGGAGCGGGAGGGGGTGGCGGAGGAAGGGGAGGGAATAGGGAGGATGGGGGAGGGGAGGCGTCATGGACCTTCTCGGCCGGCTGCGGCGGCTGCTGCTGCGCCGGGGTGACCTTGGGGGACATCGGCGACGGCGGCGGAGGTGGCCTGCGCTTGCCCTTGTCGCGGCGCTTGGAGGAGGAGGAGGACGGAGGGGCGGACGACTCGGCGGCGGCGAGGTGGTCCTCGAACGCCTCGATGGCGTCGTGGATGAGCTCGCGGCTCGGGGAGCAGTCCCAGCGCGACCAGAAGCTGGTGTAGCAGTCGAAGCAGCCGCACCCGATGGCCGGCGGGTGCGCGCCGCGGCGGCGGCGCCCCCCGCCTCCGCCGCGTGCGGGCGGGTGCTCCCGCTCCGGGTGGTGCGCAGCGCCGGCACCCTGGAGGCAGCGGGTGACCAGGTACGCGAGCACCTGCTGGTCCTCGGGGCGGAGGGCGGTGGCGAGCGCGAGGATGGCGGCGGGGAGGAGGCGCAGCGCCGCGCGGACGGGGTCGCCGTCGCCGCCGCCGAGTGGGGAGGGGTGGATCTTGCCGCCCTTGCCTGGTTTGGGGCACAGCGACTTCATGGCTAGGGTTTTAGCCCCCCCTGCTCGCTGCTCCAACCGTCGTCCAGGTCTCGGGTGGTTTGAGGGGGAGAAGAAGCGGAGGGGATGGAGAAGGTGGTGGGCTTTGGGAGAAGAGCTTAATAGAGAGAGGCACAGTCCTCACTCTTTTGCTTTTGGCAACTGCACTTTTTGAACCGTTTTTCTTCACTCTCCTCCTCTGCTTTTCCTGGTTTTCTACTCACAGCCTCGTTATATTTGTAGCCAAGGTTTTTATGTGATACAAAGGCTTAAGGCCGAGTTTAGTTTCAATTTTTTTTTTCAAATTTTTAACTTTTCTATCACATCAAAACTTTCCTACACACACAAACTTTCAATTTTTCCGTCATATCGTTCCAATTTCAACCAAACTTTTAATTTTTGCTTGAACTAAACACACCCTAAGTGGTATTGCTGTTATGCTAAATTGTTTTAGCAATAATTCTGGTTGTATCTATGTGAATATTATACTATGTCGCATTGCTTTTTTGTTTTTGTTGTTATTGCTAGTTGTAAATGTATTGGTATTTCAATGTATGAGTTGTCAGGTAGGTGTTTTGTTTGTGTTCACTTTTCCGCCTAATAAGGTTAGAACGGGCGAACGGTTATAGTTGAATGCTACTATTACTACGTGTAGCCAAATGTTTGAGGTTCACATTTATGTTCTATGGGCTTGGTTGCAGCAAATGTTTCTAGTGAAACTAGGCTCACACTGATCAAATGGTACATGCCTATGCATTTTGCTCTTTTTTAAGTTGAATTTATAGTATCTATTGGAGATGTTTACAATGACAACATTTACAAGTTATCGTGCTAATCAAATTCAACTTCACTTTGCTATTAAAAAGAATTATCGATTAGGTTTTTTCAAGTTACTTTCTTGGGTTCAATGTTAGTACGATGTCAATAATTGTAAATCAATTGATGTGCTACAACTTAAACATGTTTTTTTATCATAACCATAACCATCCATAGGCTTGAGCCATACTTTCATTGCATCGAGCTTTTTCTTAAAGAAGATTGTGGTTGTATCGTTGAAATTGGTTGAGTGCAACGTTGTCATTATTAGTCATACTTGTAACTCCATGTTGTTGTACAAGTTATCTTACTAGCTAGAAGTCAAGTGCTTTGCTCATGTTTACCAACCACCTATCTTGGTCGCAGACACTATACTCTCAGAGTTAATGGTTGTGTCTCATGTCTCTACTAATGTAAAAGTCGATGTCCCTCCAAGCAAGGCGTCCAGATGTGACTGCTTTGTAGAGTACTAAGGTAGGCTCGGACAACGAATGATGAGGGCGTGCCACACACCGCCCCCTTTAAAGTTGTCGGTTGATGTGGGCATGCAAAGAGCTTTATGCAACGCCATGACTCTTGGTATGTGGGTGAGCTATACACCGAATTGCTCTACCCTACTGTTTGTGTATGGTGTTGGTCAATGCCAATCTTTTGGACCCACTGATGCTCATATAATGGGATGGAACTTTTTGAGGAGAACCGGGGGGGGGGGGGGGGTGGGGGGCAAAGGGCATGTTTGGGCCTCATCCCGAGCCCCCAAGTCGCCTGCGCCTTGTACTTGGGAGCGGCCAGTATGCTTGGGGCAGCCGTGCGCCCAGGGCACCCAACATACCCACGCACCCACGATCGCTCCCATTGTTGATCGTATATTTTTTTTTTGTTGGTTTGGACGAGCCTCTCGAGATGTCGATAATGGTGTTCGTGATAGACGTCGCTTGGAGGAGATTTTCTGATGCCGCGAGTTGCATCTTTAACACCTTAAAGATGTAGATCTTGCACGTTCTACATGTTCCTTGTGCCCCCTAGCACTCAGGCGCCAAGCGCAGGTGAGATGTGCCCCGAGCACTGCCCAAAGAGGGGCGTGCTTGGAGGCCAGATGCACCCCGAGCACCACCCATGGGGGGTGGGAATCTGCCTGGGTATAGCCCGCAGGTGGTTGTGCCCAAAGACATATATGCCCCGAGCAATCGCGCTGAGGGACTGATGTGCCTCGAGCATAACCCATGGGGGGCCGTGCAACCGTGCTCCATAGGCTGTGCTTGGGGATTGGTGATAGGGATGCCCTGAGTAGCTAGTGATGGGGACCTTGGTTCCCACTTCTCCGATAAAGGTACATGCATGTTACTAATATAGCCAAACTTTGAAGGTTCATGTTTATATTCATAACGCTTGTTTCAGGGAAGTGCTCTCATTTGAAACTACGTTAACATCCGATCGAATGGTGTATGCTCACACTTATCTACCACATACTAGCATTTTTCTCTTTCATTAATCGAACATTGTGGAGTGACAATTTGCAACCATGATGCTTGATTTAATTCCATGGATCATTTACGAGTCAAAACATCACATGCGTATATTTAGACCATCGTTTGCGCAGTTCAAGCTTTGCTTCTAAACAAAATTACCAATTATTTCTCCTAGTTACTAATTTTTGTTGCCGTGTCAAATATTCGTACATCAAACCGCCCTAATACTTGAAATTACCAACTGTTTTTTCCTGCTAAGCTATTATCAACATCACACAAATACACCAAAGAAGGAGCAAAACGAAACAATCTCCCTATTCTTGAGGACGTTGAACGCAATATCACGGTTCTAGGAGGTGGTGAGATGAAACCGTCAGTTAATTTTTTTTTAAAAAAAAGAGAAGGCGCAGCTTCTCCCAAAATCCTAGGGCCCCGCGCGTCGCAGAGCAGCGAACCGACCGCCTATCAGCAGCGCCCGCACACGAGAACCCCCCAACTTCCGTCCGTCCGTCCGTCCGTTTCTCACGCGGCTCCGTTTCCGTTCCAGTTTTCCCGTTTCCACCGGAGGTCGTGGGCTCGCTCGACGCTCGTGGCATCGGCGCATCGCATCGCACCGCGCCCCGCGGATTGGTGGCGGCCGATCTTATCGCCGCGGCGGATTGGTGTGTCGCGTGGGCCCGCGGCGTCAGCGAGACGCGGGCCGAGGCGGGTTGTACGGGCGCGGGACGAGGCGTTGGTGGCGCAGACATGCAGCAGAGTCTGCTGCTGCTGCTGCTGCTCCCACACACACTGCTCACGAGCCCCTCCGCTCCGCGGGTGGAAACGGGATGATCCTAGTCCCCTGCCAGGTGGGTCCTACAGCGCCGCACTCTCCGGTGGGTCCCAGAATCAGTGAAAGAAGGTAGCTAGGTGTGGTGCGGGGCGGAGATACGGTGGAGGTGAGGTTGTCAGGTGGTACCGTGCTTTTCCGGGCTTTGGTGGGGGGCCTACAATAGGGTTGAAATGACGGGAATGCCCTACTCTGCCGTGACGCGGCGACCACGACGTGGGCGAGGGTGTTATGGCTAGTTTCGGGAAGGAAGGGGTGGGGGGTGTGTGGGGCACTCACTACTGTTCCAACCTGGCTGCCCATCTAATATCTGGTGAGTGATGAGCCGTAGAGCACGGTCCATGGTAGCAGAACGTCTCACACGGCCAAAATGTACGGAACTAGGGAGGCTGACGGTGGAACAGTGAACTCGTATGTCATCTTTTTGGGTTAAAGAAAATGGTAGGTTCCCCGAAAAAAAAAAAGAAAATGGTAGGTTTCCGTGTCCGCTTATGTACTCTCTTTATCTCTGAGCCTATGTTTGAATAATGGGTTAAGTGGGGTGGGACTAGGATAGTAATATATGAGTGGAGGGATGAGATGAAATAAGATATGAAGAATGATTGACTAAGGCCCTATTTGTTTCAGCTTATGATTATTATAATTTAGATTATTAAACCAGATTGCTATAAGCTGGATTATAATAAGCTGATATAAAATAAGTTGTGAGTTGTTTGTTTGTCTGGATTATTGGAGGCATGGATTATTGGGTTTGAAAGGCTAAAGTCTATAATGCTCTCAGCTTTCAGTTGATGGCATAGGTGGGTAATTTTTCTCAAATATGTAGGGTAGTGGGTCTTTAGCCACTCAATAATCTAAAAAAAGCTCCTTTAGAGCAGCTTATTAGTTATAATAATCTGGCTTATAGATTATAATAATCTACTATAATAATCTATTTGTTTGTTTCAGCTTACTCCTAATAAGCTAGATTATAATAATCCTAAACTGAATCAAACAAGGCCTAAGATTAAAAGGGTTGGATAAAATTTCCCTATCCCATTATCTAAACATGGCCTAAAGTTTTAACTCAAGGGATTTGTGCTCCTACTTATAAACTAAAATTTAATTATTTTAACCTCAAATTTAAAGTTGATATTGAGATTTTTTTTTTCATTGTAGTAAACGTTACTTTTAGATTACTAAAACACGTATAAAAAAAGTTTTATTCACATATTTTTTTTTCGTTTGCAAATACGTTGTTTAGCTTATTCCACCAAACGATGGCACCGTTCTTTGTATGTTGAAACCTACCCCTCCGTCCCAAAAAAAAGTCCAATCCTAGCTACGAACCTGTACACATGCGTGTCCAGATTTATAGCCAGAGTTTGGTTTTTTTTGACAGAATAGTACACATTTCAGTTTTTACTATCCAATGGGAACCCTTACGATTTGTGTACGTATGGTGCGTGGTCCATTCCTTTATATGTATAGTCTGCCTGAAATCAAAACATTTGTTGTTCCAGATACTCCCGGTGTGTCTCTTTCAGTGTACCTTCGTGTTAAGGCATTTCTTTGTTGATCAAGGATTCAAGGTACACCAGAGCTATCAATGACAAGCACATATCTATAGCCAATTATAATCCTAGTTCTTCCTTTTTCTCGATTTTCTGTTTTTTTTTCTCCTTGCGTGTTGGACTAGTCCGTGAAAAACTCATGTGTATACACAAAATCTCGCATAGACCCTTCCACCACTCGATGCTAGTATGGGGGTGTTTAGATATAGGGGTATAAAGTTTTGGCGTGTCACATCGGATATTATATACGGTGTTCGGACACTAATAAAAAATAATTACAGAATCCGTCAGTGAACGGTGAGATGAATTTATTAAGCCTAATTAATCCGTCATTAGCAAATGTTTACTGTAGCACCACATTGTCAAATCATGGAGCAATTAGGTTTAAAAAATTCGTCTAGCAAATTAGTCGTAACCTGTATAATTAGTTATTTTTAATCTATATTTAATACTTCAGGAAGATGTTAACGTTCTGATAGTGTGTAAAATTTTTACGTGGGATCTAAACCGGACCTATATTATACTCGTAGCTCTTGTGCTGATGAGGACATGGGAGTAACATGCCAGCGAGCATCGAACAGAAACCAAGAGAACAACTTATAGTGTAGTATTACCAGATAAAATTTGGTAGACAAACATACAAATAGAACAATATGGAATTACACATATATCGAGGTTGTCAGCCTACAAAATATTTCATAAATCAACCATTGATATCAGTCAGTGCCTCACATACAATAAAAGATATGAGAAATATATAATTTGAGGCGTGAATTGCAATAACATTAAAACATTTTGTGAACACTTTAAGACTCTGTTCTTTTTTCCAACGAAAGTTGAATTAAATTTTGGATACTTGTGGCACGTTTTTCAATCTGCTAAACGGTGTGTTTCGTGCAAAAACTTTCTATATGAAAGTTGTTCTAAAATACTAGATTAATCTATTTTTCAAGTTTGTAATAACTAAAACTCAATTAATCACACGTTATTACCACCTCGTTTTACGTGAAACACTTAATTTTTATCTTCATCTTCATAAGATTCAAACACCACCTAAGGTCTAGAAGTTCCGTAATTTTGTGATATAATTGGTGCTACTAAATGTATTGCTTTGTATAAATTTGAAGCTAAAATCTATAGTTGTATGATATTTATGTTTTGAATTTTAAGTCTTACTATAATTTCATTTAAATACGTACAACTCTGTCAAATTTACTCTTTGATTGAACTTCCCTAATCCCTACGGTCAATGTGCCGAACTGTGGCTCGCGCGCAAGTTGCAACTAAACATTTCTTCTTCTTCTTCTTCTTCTTCTTCTTTTTTTACCATGGAATATTAACTAGATCATTCCTTTACCCCATCGTCTGTGAAGTGCCATGTGCCCAAACGTTGCTAGCCTGCAGGTATCTGGCACGTTAGCACAAGCCAAAGTTTCCTTTCTGTGCCACTTTAATAAACGGTACTGTAGGTCTTTTTATAAAGATTGGTCCTTTTAAGGTCTTTTATAAGCCCTCAAAGCATAGGTTTGGCTCGATCCCTTTAAAACTCTTAGCTTATAAATTTTACTCAAAATAGTGCCTTGAACTCAAATTCAGTGGACCACATATAACTTAGGTTACACTACCAGTTTGCCAAAATATCATGACTTAGCCTTGAGGCATGATACTACATGTCAAATATGTCACTGACACAATCAGAGCACAATGCCATCGTCAATCAGGCCGTCCATTCCCAATCAAACCGGCCTTAACATAGCCAAGATAACTCCTGGATGTCCTACATCATTTTGTTTGGACCAAAAAAAAAATTCCAGGGGCATTTTGTTTGGACCAAAAATGAATTTCTGGCCTAGGGCTGAGGCTCCAACTGATGGACGAGCCAATCGGATACAGTATATTCCTGAACCCAACCAATGGCCAAATAATGAGATAAAATGCCAAGCAGATTCCGGTGTCTTTTCCTTTCAACTTTCGGCACATACATACACGCCTTCTTTTTGCTCGACAAACTATTCCAATAATTGGAGAATTTTTATTTTATGGATATCACTGGAGATTAGATTCACCCTTGGACGATGACGTACACTCCTGTTCAAAGTTTAGCAAATTGCTGCCTGTGAGTGTGAGGTCGACCGGAACAGATACGATACCTCCAAAATGCATCAGATTTCCATCAATGTTCCCGAGGTCAGATCGACCAAGCCAAGCAGCTATCTTCACAGAAAACCCCATGGAGCTGCGTGATACTGAGGTCCTCCTGAAAGTATGGTCCAAACATGCCCAACCTGGCCAGTAAATTTCAGTAGGTAACAGAACAAATTCCCAGTAAATAGGAAATGTGGCCTCTCATTTAAGCTATTCAACTAAAGTGGGAATCCATCTTTTTAATGTTTGGCCAAGAAATGGTGAAATTTCTTGGCTTTTGCTTATAAAGATGGCCAATCGTGTGGCAATATGCTAGAGTTACAAGAATAATACTGTACTGTTAATGTTTACAAGAAGAATTTCATCCTTTCGTCCTTCTTCATGGCATTATACACTGCTTGGACCTGGAAACAAACAAGTGCAACCCTATCACCGCACATGGTAAAGATAGAACTGTCCCGAAATGCTGTAGTTATAAATCTTTGCTAGCGTAATGGAACAATGCGACAATTGGTTACCTGCTCGCTGGAAACCACAGGAATGGGCCCAATTTTTACAGAAACATATTTCCCCTTCGACGACACTTTATGGGAAATCTGAGCCTGCAGAAGAAAAGCCAAAAACACACAGGAATCAAGATAGTGACAGAACAATCGCACAACAGCAGGAAGAACCAAACATATGAACTGCTCTAAGCAAATAACTTGGGTATTGTTCATATCCAAACAAACGCACAAGCCACAAAGCTGCTAGTGTCACCTTTTTTTTTTCAAATTATGTTCTGGAAAATAATATGACATGCATTTCTGCCATCCTTTTGCTAACAAACACGCAAGCATTAAACCAAACATGCTAACCAGCAACTCTGAAGTTGCTCATCAGCTCTATATTATATATGCAAGCAGATTGCCACAGATGCTATCCTCATCAACTTCATAGCTTTCTTGTTTTGTCTATGGTCCTACTGGTTGCAATGAGATTCTTCAGCCTCGTCAGTCTTCATGTCCCACTTCACATTGCAAGCTTACAATATCTTTACTTGGTACTAGCATACTAGCATTTAGAGAAAAGTAGCAATTTTATATCCAGGTAAATACATAATTGGCCGTGTACATCCAGTTGGATGTAGAGGCCGGGTTTATCCCATTTTCTAAAAAAAACATAAATACATTATAATCACTTTCATCAATGGTTGCACATTCTAAGAACATCTGTAATTGGAGCTGTAGAGTGCAAATACCAACCTTTGGAATTTGTTCTTCCAGTACTGATTCAACTGCAACCACCATGGCCTGGACAAAATCATCTCCTCCAGTACCAATTGCAGTAAATCCTCTAACTGTAGGATATGTATTTACCTAGGGAATAAAAGAAACAAGGGCCCTTGTCATGGTTGAAATAAAATCCAAAGTAAGTACACTTAGTGTTCATTGTTCCATACTCCATAGGCTACTGTGACAACCAACTCGCACTCCTTAAGCTGCGTTCGATCGGCTTGTGTGGATAGAAATTTTTAGCTCACGCAAAACGAGAAAGCTCATTAGCACATAATTAATTAAGCATTAATAATTATTATAAAACTGAAAAATGGATTTATTTGAATTTTTTTAAACAACTTCTATATAGAATATTTTTTTGCAGAAAACGTATCATTTAATAGTTTGAAAAACTTGCTAACGAAAAATGAGAAAGTTGAAGTTTGGAGTTGGAGAAAAGAACTGGGCCTTAGCCATGATTACCGACTAGTGACTGCAGATGTTAATGACATTGTCTGCTGTTGCCTTATGTAGCTTCCCAGTATACAATCTAGTGTAAGAACAGTGATGCAAAAAATCTAAGTTGAAATCTAGAGGGACACATAAATTCCTACCTTTCCAACTTCAGATGGAATATTTACATGAAAATGGAGCAAAATGACTCCATGAAACAAGCGCTTCCATTAATTTTTTTTAAAATGCACATTCACTTGCCTGTTGTGAAAGAAAGAACAAACAGAAGTAATAATGAAACACCCAATAGAGAGGATAGGATACCTGCTTATCCAGAACAAGCCATTCATCAGTTGCATCATCTGTCACAGTACCACCCATGACAACATTTGTTGTCTGTGCAACCCGTCCTTTAGAGTTCGCTACCTCTATTTTAGGAAATGAAAAGTTAAAACCACAAGAGACCACCACTATGTTATAACCTATGGAAAACTTAACACAAACAAACAATAGGAAGAGAACTGAACATAGTATATTCTCACCATATTAGCCCATTAAGTATGCATATAACCAAAGATTGAGACCTACAAATTCGCAATAACCGTATGTCCAAAGAGTGACCAACTTGACACTGAATGTAACTTCTCCTTTAAAATGAAAATAACGATGAGGCAACCAGATCGAAGATTCCCCTACCACCATTTGTCGGTAATTTACTCCAAATCAGTCTGCTGGTAGGGGTTTGACCAAGGGACAAGAAGAATATCTAAGGAAGTCCATCCTATCAGGAGTTCAGCACCATTGCCCCCTATGTTATCTTTCCACTCACATTGCTGTAAGCAATCGGCGGCGAGCAGAGCTGCAAATCCAGACACACCTAAAACCCCAATCCCAATCTCAAAAAAAAAAAATCATCACCTGGCCACTGAAATCACCAGCGACAGTCCCCAAACAATCGCTAGTCAAAAAAGAGGGAAGAGCAGAACTACCACTGGCACGGCGAGGCGAGGAAGGGGGTTCCGGGGAACGGGAAGGAAAGGTTTACTCACGGGAGATGGCCTTGAGCACGGCGTCCTGCGGCGGATCCTCCTGGCCTCCGGGACCGGCGGGGTTGGCGCAGCACCGGACCAATAAGGAGGCAGAGGCGCGGCGGCGGGCGGCGTCGAGCCGCGCGAGCGAGGCGGCGCGCGGGCGGGGGAGACGGGAGGGCGCCGGGAGCGGGAGGAGCGCGAGGGCCCTGCACGCCATCATCTTGTAGCCGGCCGCCGCGACCACCGCTGACGGACGGCGAGTCGCGCTCTGCGTTGGCCTTGCGGTGGATAGAAGAGAGATATTTTTCTCCGTCGGCTTGTGTGGAAACTCGAGAGAAGGGGATTGGGAATTTACATAAGAGAATTGATGATGAGATTAAGATGAGAATTTAATTTTTAATCCCAATATCTAGTTTGGTAGAGGTGATGAAAATTGACAGGGAGTTTAGTTGCAGATTAGGTTATTAATAAAAACGGATGGCGGAGATTTGCTTAGAAAAAGTAAAGGAGGAATTCTCTCCCAATTACCTACCCCGTATTAAAAAGGAGGGAGTTCCTTGCTCAATTCTCCATCCCCATCCCACCAAAATTCCCATGTCTCCCAATCAAATAAAACACTTAATAGTCTCATCTCTCTAAACTCCCAATCCCTCCTAAAAACTCCCTCCAACCAAGTAGCAGTCTGCGTCGCCGGCTCGTGGACTCGTGGATAGGGCGGGGAGCCGACGATCTTGTTTTGGATAGACCAAAACCACGGCCCATTCGCATGTATGGGCCGGAATTCACATGTTCAAGACAAGGCCTAGACAGTTCCTCAACAATTAGACCCACCTCATTATAGATCATGCGGGCCCATCCACAGTTGTACGATTCTACAGCACATGTTAATCAGGCCCAAATAGTTTCATTTTGGATAAATTTTACATGATTTTCATTCACATGAATAGTTTCATTTCGTCTTCGAGATCCAATGAGGACCTAATGTATGCCCCTTTTTTTTTCTCTTTCAAATCTTTGTATATTTTAGATAATAGAAATAAATTATATCTCCAGCTTCTGAAAAAACCCTATAAATTAGCAGAATAATAATATCCGGTCGGATGCCACTGATCTACCCTTGTAGACGCTTCCGTTTGACCACCTTCAAGTCACCGGTCTAACCGCCCGCTTACCGTTAGGCTGACCATCGTGAAGCCACTTGTCTAAACGTTAAAAACTGAAAAACATAACACGACAAAATCTATTTAAAATAGATTGACTTTATTGCATCAATTTGTGTTTCCAAAGTGCATTTAAAGTACCTATCTCTCAACTCAGAAACTAAAATCAAAATCTCAAAGGAAACTCTAACTTTTCTCTCTAAAAGTTGCCTTACTTTGAGTCTCAATTCCGTATCTATTTATACCTATAAGCATGGCTATCCGTAGTCACGAATCCAACTTCCTAATCACAAGAGGAAACCCCTCAAACTAGGGATGTACCCATCGCTTTGCAACTTCAAACTCCAATCCTCTTAAACTTAAACTCTAATCTAAATTTGACTCATCTTCACATACACACACAATTCCTCTTGTGTGTCACACTGAAACTTCATCTTCATGTGCATTATTCTCTGGGTATCCCACATGATCTCCTACTGTGTGGGCCTTAACTTCTCCTAAGTCTAGTCCTGATTCATCACCGGTAGTAATTCCGAGGCCTTAAGCTACACTTACACATGAATAACCAAAGAATCCACATCCGAACACAAGTTCCTCTTGACCTACATTAGCACATAACAATATATCTCAAGTATAGAAAACCTTATATAAGTCATAAATGTTAAGCAATCAACATATTCCATAAAATCAACCCGAAACAGACTCTCGTCAAAAGTATATCGGTGTGAGCTCTCGTCTCACGTCGGTTAGGCCGCCTACACTACTAGAAAACTCATTTTCGGCGTCATAGGGGATCGATTTTTGAAGGCGGGCATGTAATTTGGAGCCAAAACCCCGCCGGCAAAAAAAGTACCCAGGGTGGAGGGGGCGGTCCGCCTGTGAAGATTGATATTTGCAGGCGGACCATATAAGCGTCGCCTGCGAAGATCAATCTTCGCAGGCGGCAGACGTCGTGCGCCTGCGAAGATCAATCTTCGCAGAAGGCAGCAAAGGGAGTTTTGTATGATGAGTCGAATGGCTGTGACAGTGAGTTCACAACACTACGGTCAGTTCTTGAACTTATGAGGTTAAAGGCGAGATATGGATGGTCTGATACCAGTTTCGACAGTTTGTTAGAACTTATGCAGAAAATGCTCCGGAGGCCTAATTCACTACCATCCAGCACATATCAAGCAAAGAAACTCATATGCCCCCTTTCACTTGGTGTGGAAAAGATTCATGCGTGCGTAAATCACTGCATACTATACAGGAAAGAGTATGCTTCTTTAGATGAATGTCCAACATGCGGTGCTAGCCGGTACAAATCGAATAGCAATACTGGCCTAGAACCGTCTGACACAACTGAGGGACGACAGAGAAAAATCCCGCAGCTTGTGATGTGGTACCTTCCTGTCAAAGACTGCATAAAACGGATATACTCAAACCCGCGAGATGCGGAACTAATGCGCTGGCATGAAGAAGGGCGCAAGAAGGATGGGATGATTCGACACCCGGCAGATGCTCGTCAGTGGATAAACTTTGATGCTCAGTATAGAGAGTTTGCTAAAGACCCACGGAACATTAGATTTGCCCTGAGTACTGATGGAGTTAATCCTTTTGGAGACATGAGCAGCTCACATAGTACTTAGCTAGTGCTTCTCACCATGTATAATCTTCCTACCTGGCTTTGTCAAAAGTGAAAATACATACTACTCTGTATCCTCATACAGGGACCCCGTCAGCCTGGTATTGATATTGACGTATTTCTTGAACCATTGTTGGAAGATATGGCTGATTTATGGAAGGAGGGATTGAAAGTGTGGGACGAGTACTTAAGGGAATACTTCACAGTGAAGGCCATCATCTTTGTGACCATTAATGATTATCCAGCAATGTTTTCAGTTTCAGGTCAAATTAAAGGTAAAACAGGATGTGTGATCTGCTTGAATGGAACGTACTATAGGTATCTCCCGGGTTCCAACAAGCTTGTGTACATGCGGCACCGGCGGTTCCTACGCACAAATCACAAGTACCGCAAGATGAAGGCGGAGTTCGATGGCACTGAAGAGACAGATCCTGCACCCAAACCAACATCGGGAGAAAAGGTGTGTGCAATGACAGAGAAAATTGTTTGCAAGTTTAGAAAAGTGACTAAGAAACCATCAAAGGGGACAAAGCGCAAGAAACCCGAGAAGAATACGAAACAAGGGGATAGTAAGAAGCAAGATGATAGTTCGAAGCCAGATGGTAAACTCCCTCCCCTATTCAAGAAGCATTCCATATTTTTTAAGTACCTCCCATACTAGAAATATTTGGAGGTTCGGCTTGCCATAGATGTCATGCATCTAGAGAAGAATGTGTTTGACAACATAGTTGGAACATTGTTGGACATGCCGAGGAAGACTAAAGATGGTTTGCAATCAAGGATGGACCTAGTCGAGATGGGAATCAGGGAAGAGTTACACCCTCAAGAAGGAGAAAAGAATGGAAAAGTATATCTTCCACCAGCCTGCTTCACACCGACACCTGAGGAGAAGAAATCATTTTGCAACTCACTCTGTGATGTCAGAGTGCCCATAGGTTTCTCATCAAACATCAGTCGACTAGTTTCAATGAAAGATTTGTCGGTATCTGGTTATAATTCACACGACTGTCATGTCTTGCTCACCGTGTTTCTTGCAATTGCAATAAGGGCCATAAAACCGGAGCATTTAAAGGTTGCTATCACAAGGTTGTGCTACTTTTTCAACGCAGTGTCACAGAAGGTTATTAGTCTCGAAGAGTTAAGAAATCTCCGTACATTCACACATGAGACACAGTGCCAACTTGAGATGTGTTTCCCTCCATCATTTTTTGATATGATGGAGCACCTCATTGTTCACATAGTGCCGCAGATGGTTGCACTTGGCCCATTGTATCTCCATCAAATGTGGTCATACGAGCGTTACATGGCAGTTTTGAAGGGTTACGTTCGAAATCGTGCACATCCAGAGGGATCAATGGTTGAGGGTTATAGTACTGAAGAGGTTGTCGAGTGCTGTATCGATTATCTCAAAGATGGATATGCAATTGGAGTACCTGTGCCCCGACACGAGGGCAGATTGAGTGGCAGGGGAACGATAGGAAAGAAGAGATTCGTCACCCATGATCACAAATCATTCCAAGAAGCTCACTTCAGCGTGCTTCATCAGTTTGCTATCGTTGAGCCGTACATCGATCAACATATCGAACTAATACGAGCTAACAATAAGGGTCGCACCACCGAGTGGATAATGAAAGAACACAAGCGTCTCTTCGTAGATTGGTTGCGAGACCTAGACTTACCTGAGGGACAAATTACCGATGAAATAACTATGAAGCGGTTGGCTTGTGGTCCATCAACTACAGTAAATTCTTGGCAGGGATATGACATTAATGGATACTCGTTTAGTACAAGAGCCCGAGATAATAAGACCTGTACGCAAAATAGCGGTGTTCGTGTGGAGGCAATTGATGAAGCCGGGGAAAAACAATTATACTTCGGGTTTATTGAAGAAATATGGGAAATTGACTATGGGCACACAATGCAATTCCCTATATTTAAGTGTCAGTGGGTAAAATACCCGAACGGGGTCAATGTTGATAAGTTCGGTCTCACTGTTGTTGACCTGGCGAGTGTGGGTCACAAGGATGACCCTTGGGTACTCGCCAATCGCGTGGCACAAGTGTTTTACGTGAAAGACCCATCAAATTTGAAGAAAGATATAGTGCTACCCGGGAAACAAAAGATATTGGGAGTGGATGGGGTTGAAGATGTCGAAGATTACAATCAATACGATAGTATGCCACTTTATAGTCAATTTGTATAGAAGATTAAGAATGTCGAGACATCTACTCAGAAGATCGTGAAGCCTTACATGCGCACGGACGGTGTGGGAAAAAATATTAAAGGGTAATTGTTGAGGGGTGACCCTCTCTAGCGGGAGGCTGTGAGGCCCCCCTTTGAGAGCTCGGCCAGGGGCAGCGGGTGAGATTCGAGGATTTGGTGAGCGAAACTGTGTATGATTTTGATCTCGGAGGCCCCTCCAAGACGATGAGACAAAAGAGGTTTATACAGGTTCGGGCCGCAATGAAGCGTAATCCCCTACTCTTGTGTGTATGATTCTTCTGTGCTTAGAAAGTCCCTGAATCCCTGGTATGCAAGT